AAAACCCCCAAATCCCCAGCCGTGCTTCCTGCTGTTTTGCAAACAAAGGATTAAGTTAAACACTCTCTCCAGCACCAGTCACATGCTGGTGTTAGTCTCGCCTCTGTGCTTATGTGCAAAACATCAGCACTTCTGGGGCAGAAACTGCTCAGTCGAGGTATTGTACTGTTTGGAAAACAAGTGCTGTGAAGAGCACGGTGTTGCCTCCCTGTCGTGCCGCCATGAAAGGTTTCCTCACTAGCTTTTTATGTTTCCCGGGAAGCGAACACCTCACCTTGGCTTCTCAGCATAGTTGTGCTCAAACTGTATCCACTCATTCTTGCTGATACAATAAATCCAAGCGTCACCTAAAAAACCCCACAAACCCCCCCAATATGAACAGTATTCGATTAGCTCATTCATATTTGTTGGACTAACTACATACTCTGGTGTTACTGTTACTAAATAAACGAAGCTTTTGGGGGCAAAACCTACGACACCGCACTGGCTATCATAGAATCACAGAATGCTCAAGGCTGGCAGGGACCTCCAGAGGTCACCTAGTCCAACCCCCTGCACACGCAGGGTCACCTAGAGCACGTGGCACAGGACTGCGTCCAAGCGGGTTTGAAGATCTCCAGAGAAGGAGACTCCACAACCTCTCTGGGCAGCCTGTTCCAGGGCTCTGGCACCCTCACTGGGAAGAAATTTTTCCTTAAGTTCCTGTGGCACGTTTGGTGTTTCAGTTTCCAGCTATTCTGTTGGTGGCCACCACTGAAGAGAGGCCAGCCCCATTCTCACTGCCTCCCTTGAGGTACTTACTTATAGACACTGATCAGGTCCCCTCTCAGCCTTCTCTTCTCCAGGCTATATGAAAACAGGCCTTAAGCAGCACCTTGCAGGAGCAAAGTAAGGAGGGACCTATGGGGACACGGCTCTGCCTGCTCGCACTCGGTGCACTCTTAGAGCATCCTGATTTCTGTAACTTGTGGAAACTCATTCAGCGACTCCTGCGGTGTCGGCTGAGCTGCTCTTCCT